AGAGTGGCAAAGAATCAGTAGACTTGAAGAAAACCTAGATTACAGACACAGCTTCACTACTTCTAGTAGATTAATCTGGGGAAGTTATTCAACTTGCTATACAATCTCTTCATCTATAAAAACAAGAGCCTTGCTCTTTTTTTTTTTTTTATTTCAGCATGTTATGGGGGTACAGATGATTAGGTTATGTATGATACCCTTACCCTCCCTCACCCCCAAGTCCGAGCTTCAAGTGTGTCCATTCCCCGGGAGGTGCGCATCGCGCTCATTGTTTGTGCATATGCCCGTCCCCTCCTCCCCTGTCCCCCCTCCCCAACATCTAATACATGTTATTCTTATATGTTCACTTAGATGTTGATCAGCTAATACCAGTTTGATGGTGAGTACATGTGGTGCTTGTTTTTCCATTCTTGGGATACCTCAAAGAGCCTTGCTCTTATGCTATGATATGATGACTTTCTGACAATTGAAGCTGCAAAGATCTTTTACCATGCAGTCCCCACTGGACCTCCATGTTGGCTGGCTAAACATATAAACAGCCTGACAGAAATAATAGGTAACTTTAGGGTAAACAATAGGTATTGCCTATTCCAGGACTATAATTCTTAAACTTTAGTACAATCACTTTGAATTTCTATTGATGGCTCTATTAGAGACATGTCATTGCACTCTAGTATTTTAAATAATGAGTTTGCAAGGATAAAATTCTGACAGGGAAAAAATTACAACTACTGACCAAAATAAGGGTAATGACTCCTTTCAATTATTCCCATTGCCCCAAATAGGAAAGAACTCTTAAAGTTATAACTCTTTCTCTGCCATTTTCCCTGGTGTTTTCCTTCCAATTAAACTGTATTAATTTGAAAGGAAGTATCATATCATAAAAGGAGTAAAGCAAAGAGGGATACTCGGAAATAAAACCCTGAAAAGTCATTGCCACATAAATTCTTAAACCTAAAAAAATGCAACAGTAGAGTCATAAAACTGAGCTTCGACCCTCATTTGCCATTCACCATGTGACCAAGTTACACTGCTGAGCTTCTCTGGGTTGAGCACTTTCCTAAGAACAAAAGTAAATTATATTTCTGAATATTCAATTTAATTCAATTCATTCATAGCATACTGAATATCAAGTCAGATTGGTTGGGTAGGCAGGAAAAGTTAGTAATGGTACAAACCACACTATAATCTCAAACCCTAGGAAAAAATAGGAATGATGAGTCACTTAATAATGAGGTTTGTAATGAAGGCCATTGCTTAAAAAGAAACACAGAAATAATGACAGCTACTACTATAGAAATGTTGATCACTAATTATTTCCCCAAGAAAATAATTAAAAATAAGGGACCAATAACACCTCCAATGGGGGAAAAAGTAAATTTTATCCACATACATAGTTTCATCAACCGACTGACTGCATTCCTGGACTGCTGCTTCTACTACAGATCGTTCAATCATGTTTGATGACACTGAAAAGAGAATTTCAAAGTCAAATTTTAAAAACA